CCCCAAAACCCCAAAACCCCAAAACCCCAAAACCCCAAAACCCCTTTTTAGATTTCTAAAATTGAATTTTATAAAATTTCTTGATTGGCATGTTTTCTCAGTAATTTATTGGATGCTTTAACGCTAAATAGTTTTTCGCAATGAATTTTGAAATATGGAAAATACAACGGAACCAGAATTTGAAAAAATCTCTGAACAAGCCTCAGAAGCTTCTAGCAAAGCTAGTTTAGACAATAATGAGGAGCAGAAGGTAACCGCCTTTGAGGTAGAAGCTGGAGAGACTGGTGTTGACTATGATAGACTCATTGACCAGTTTGGCTGTGATAGAATAGAGGCCAGACATCTTGAGAAGATAGAACAATTGACTGGCCAAAAACCTCATAGATTCTTAAGAAGAAATATCTTTTTCTCTCACAGATCTCTCGACTGGTGCCTGAAATCATTCGAGACGGGTAGAGGGTTCTATCTGTATACAGGAAGAGGACCAAGCTCTTCCTCTCTTCATGTTGGACATGCTGTCCCTTTCATTTTTACGAAATATATGCAGGAAGCATTTGATCTCCCTCTTGTAATTCAGTTGACAGACGACGAAAAATTCTTCCACAAGCAGGTCTTAACTTTTGAGAACGTGTATAAAATGGGTTATGAGAATATTAAAGACATTATTGCATTTGGCTTTGACCCAGAGAAAACCTTCATCTTCTCTGACATTGACTACATTAAATATCTGTACCCCAATGTTTGCAAGATGCAGAAAGCATTGACCTTAAATAATGTGAAAGGGGTATTTGGATTCAATGATAGTGATAATGCTGGGAAATATTCTTTCCCAGCAATCCAAGCAGCTCCATCCTTCTCGAATACCTTCCCTCACATCTTTGGAAAGAAGAAGAATGTGCCTTGTCTGATCCCACAGGCTATTGACCAGGATCCTTACTTCAGGATGACCAGGGATATCGCTAAAAAGCTGAAGTATGAGAAGCCTGGGTGTATTCAGTCCAAATTTTTCCCTGCCATTACAGGCCTTAGTGGGAAAATGAGTGCTTCTTTGGCTCATACTACAATCTATCTCTCTGATGATCCCAGCCAGATCAAAAATAAGATTAACAAGCATGCCAAGAGTGGTGGTGGAGATACCTTGAAAGAGCACAGAGAGAAAGGAGCCAACCTTGAGGTTGACATTCCCTACCAATACCTTACTTTCTTCCTTGAAGATGATGACGAGCTGGCCAGAATTGCTGAAGAATACTCCAGTGGAAGAATGCTCACAGGTGAAATTAAAGAAATCTGTGCTAAAGTTATTACTGATTTCATCACAGAATACCAAGAGAGGAGAAGCAAAGTTACTGATGAGGATGTTAAAGCTTTCACAGCTATTAGACCTATTGACCCGAAGTCCTCAAAGATGCCGCCTAAGCCTGATAAAACAATGGAGGAAGCTAAAAAGTAGATTTGTTTTCTCAATCATTCAATTTAGCTTTGAAAATAGGGGTTTTGGGGTTTTGGGGTTTTGGGGTTTTGGGGTTTTGGGGTTTTGGGG